AAATGTTAGTCACTGAGAACATTTTTTTTTATTCTTTAAATGGGTTGATAGCTTCCAGGGAAAAAAAGTAGAACTGGAATAAACTGCCCAAATTGTACGCCAGTTACATTGGAATTCCAGAAATAGTAACATCCTTTGTACTTGAGAACTTTGCTGGAAAATGTCTCAGAAGCAATGGCACAGAAACGATGCACAATTTTAAGAGCTCTAATTCAGATTTATTACTCTGGCAGAGTATTGTCAAAAGGCATATCTGAAGCGTCAAATACATGTGAGAAGCAGACAATAGTGCATCACTACAATTCAAACCACACAAAGCTTATACACCCAAGAGACACAGAAAGGAGAAAGTGGTAGAGGTGCAAGAGATACGGAGATACAAGAACACTCTACAGTTTTTCAAGGAAAAAAGCACTTCATTAAAAACAACACATTTGCATCCTTCAAATTAACATACAACCTGTTTCAAGAATCAATAAACCAAAACAATCTTCAATAAGATGTATGCTTTTTTTCCTGGTTGAGTTTTTGGTGTGGGGTTTTTCTGGAGAGGAGGGATGGAGGTGTCTGGGTTTGTTTTGGGTTTGAGTTTTTTTTATTGTTGGTGGGTTTTTTGTTTACATACGGAAGATGTACGATGCAAGAACAAGTCATGTACTTCAAGAGACACATCAGTTTAATGAAGTAATCCAAGGAAACTTGCATGTAATTCTTAATTGGGAATGATCTACACTGAACCTGACCCTTCTCTGCCTGCCAGAGCACCAACTCCTATGCAGAAGTCCCGCAGAAGAGTGCACTGTGTTCTTCTCTAATAACCATCCTGCCTAGATTAGCAGTTGAAACAGAACTTTAGATTAGCAGCAGGTCTCCCAAGTTCCTATGGTGCCACAGATTTACTAAATAGGATAAGCATGTTCTAAAAAACTCATGATCATACAAGGGGAAAAAGGTTCCACAGCATCAAACAGTGCAATGCTTGAAACCTCATAATCAAAGTGACAGTTTTTAAGTGCCATTTACAATGCCCTAATCTGGAAACATCCCAGCTAACCCATCTGATCAACTATTTCACAGATGGAAGCACTTGATGGCTAATTGGCAAGTCCATGATTCAAATAAAATAGCTATCTGCACTTCTATTTTTTATATTCCAAGTCAAGGTGTAAACACTCCTTAAAAGACACAGGTCAGTTCTCTGTCTCCCCCTCCCTTCCCATTTGGACTTTTTCCCTTCCCCTCTGTCATCAAATATGTTAATTCAAAAATACAGAACGAGTTTTATTTTTCATTTATTGTACTAGAACAGTTGTCTGCATGAAGAGAGCAGTGTAAATGAATATTTTCAAAAATCCATCAAGTAATGAAAAATTACTTCAACAGCATTTTTAAGAAGTGTCATTGTTTTGCTGCTTCCTATCACATCTGGATTCAATATGTGCTAGCATGGACAAGAACTTGTATTGCTTGGACTATTGTTCTGAAAATGTTGGGGAGAGAAAGCTCGGCTAAAAATGCACTTAATTTGCTCACACCCTTTAACAATACTCAGTAGGATTGCCTAATAGAGGCATATGTGGAACTGATTTCACTAGCAAACAATAGTTCAGCATACAAAATGAAGAGGAGTGTTGCTCCAAACTCCTGCCTGCTACATAAGTAGAATGCTTTTACGTACCCCACAAAGCCTGTTAATTTGTCTGCAGCAAATGTACAATGCAAAGTAAAGCACTAAATCACTGGTGAAATTCTGTGGTAGGCAATATTCCAGAGGGATGAACAGGGAGAGATGGAAATGAATCAGGAAAAGAAGATAACTGGAAAAACCCCCAACGTGATAAGGGGAAGGAGAAGAAAGAGAGACGACCATACAAGCAAAGAAAAACAAGGGCATTGCCAAAATCTTAATTTCCATTAACTACAGGGAGGGAAGTTGAAGTAATAAGCATTTTCTTTGGGACATCACAACACTTTTACAGTTCCCCTACATCTTTTTGAAAAAGCTTCCATGATTGGTTCATCTTATGCGTTTACCACAAGAGCAGAAATTCAAGACAATAAGAGGTTATTTCCCAGGTGTACAACACCAGTCATGTAAGACAAACAATTTCTGCATGAGAAAGTGTTCCAAAGAAATCATATTTTTGGCATCAAGTTCAAAACTAAATACCTTCCCATAAAAAGAACACATAGTCAATGACCAAGTGCACTGTCAGAAAACACTATGAATGGCTTATGTAATGCCAAAAACTATAAGGTTCTCTTCCCCTTTCCTCTCTTGTCCACCTGCTGCCCCACAAAGACAGTCCTTTGTCCATCTATGACTAAAAGAGAAGAAATGGCTCAAGATTTCTAAGCCACAAGCCACTGGAGGGAAAGCTTATTGTTGAAATATCACTCGAAGATTACTTCCTTAAAGATTTGTTTATTAGCCATATGACGACAGGCTTAGGGCAGATGCAATTTAGAACTGACCACCTCTGGACAAGTGAAGGCCAATCAGTGACTCAGTAGCATCCTGAAGGAGCAAATAGTAAGATAAGAGAAACACAAGTGCAGTGAAAGTAGTTCTAAAGTAGAATACAGTACACCAAAAAACTTAAATAGAATATTGCAAAAACATTAATTCAAAGAGCATTTGGGACAGTATATTTGAGTTTGGAAATGAAGAAAAAAAACAAAAAAACCCTAAACAAGATAATAATCAGAAGAGGTACTTTTACCAAGGGGAAAGAGCCGAGAAACTACTGCTAAAGCAAGTCAATGAGAAAGACTACCTTGGCAGAGACCAAGAAAGAACTGTGCTGACCAAGCAACTGCTGTTACTTTAACATCAGTTACAGAGAAATCAAACGGACTGACAGCAGACCTTATGTGATGCAGTCCTCTTGCTAAGCAGACCCCTAGCTACAAGCAAAAAGTAATGCCCAAATTATGTGATAAAACTACTTTGAAAATGCCTCTTTTTCTACCAGACTATACACACAGATGATTCTTATGCCAGCAAGAATGACTCACTCAGATGTTTTTACTATGTTCGACCTTTAAAGCAAGAGCTCAGAACAACTGTGACACAGCAATAAGAAAAACAAAAAGCTTTGTACAGTTGTTTAAAACACTTTAGTGAAAACAAATAGTAATAACTGTTTACTTTCTAGCACTACAAAGTTTATTCAAGAAGTATCCGCCTTCTCTCTTCTAACTCAAAGACAGCTGATTCCCTATGGACTAAATCTCAATTACTAATCAATTGATACTCAGAACAGAAGTGACCTTTGAAGGTCCACTGAAACACAGTACTTTAAGGACATAAAAATAATTTTTTTAAAAAGCTTTCCTGCTGATTCAATAAACCAAAAGACTATAAAAGTAGTCAAGACATCCAGTGCAAGTAGCAACTTGTATAAAGAGCAATTCAGTTTTCTGCCTTTTTTTTAATCCAACACATACTCATCAACTCATTTAAGAAACAATTCCATATTTAAACAAACACAGAGCAGCTTTGCAGGCCAAAGCTACCAGAGGAGTTCAGAGCTTCTTCTGGATGTTATATTCTATTGTCTGCCACAATTTTCTAGCAAGCTTTAAGTAAAAGATGAAAAATTCAGAAAACAGCAGAGAGTTAACTGTAAATTTGAAAAACAGCTTTAATATGCGTCAAGTTCAGAGAGGACTAAGAAGTGAAAGCTTGAGAGATTAGACTGCACAGATGTTAAAAAAATGAAGAGTCATGAAGCAGGCTGGCAGCTCAGAGGAACAAGAGAAATAACTGTTCAAGAAAATTAAACTAGAAATAACTGTGAGCGACTTGAAGATTCACTAAGAGAGCGTGAATAGAATTTTAGCTATAAAAAGGAAAAAAAATTATGCACCAAAAGTTACAGTTTATTTGGCAAAACACCTAGAGTTTGTAAATCAGTCTAGAATATTTCACCAAATGCTTCAGTATTAAACCCTCTTTGTAGTTATACTGGACACAAAGGCACTACACACAAAGAAGCTCCGGGTTTAGCAATTTCAGGCATTCCAGAAGCAACCTGGCACACACATCCTGAAGTCCAAGACACACAGAACTGATTTCTCCAGAAGAACAAGAGTCTGAATCTTGATTTAAAACAGAGCCCTGGAGGCAGATGAGGAAGGCAGAGAAAGGCCAGCTACTGCAGCCAGCCAAGACCTCAAAGAAAATAACACTGGAGCCCGTTCCTTAGGGAAATAACTCTTCCTACAAACCTCAAACAAAGAAGTTCCTAATTATTTTTTCCCCTGTATCCACAGTGATCAGCACAATGGAATAAGATGAGCTTGGTTTTATTTTTGAAGACTGCTGGCCATGCCACTTGACCAAGGCAAAAAGCACTAGGACTTGCTGTAGTGGCAGGAGAAGCCATATAATGTGAATAGGTCTCTCACTAAAACAGGACAGCTGGCAGGGAAGCCTTTTTACTGTGAGTAATGTTACAGCAGTGAGGACAACAGTCAACAGGAGAAGACACAATAAAACACACATACAGGTGCCTACAAGTATCTACAAGTGATAAATTCAGCTCAAATTACCTCTTGAAATTTACGTATACTTCAGTATCTTATAAGGCCCCATCACAAAGTGATCCAAGGACTGAAATATATCATTTAGGAAGGAGCAGTGGATACGTTCCGCCATTTAGAACACTCTTCATGTTCTGAAATTCTGTATTATTGCAAATTGATTTTTTTAAAATTTTATGTGTTTCCAATGCTTTTCAATTCAAACTTTAAAATGTTCAGACACCAAATGAAAGGCTTATAAATGTTATGTAAACTCAGTGCCAAAACAAGAATTCATACTGACAAAAAAAAAAATGTCAGGCTATAACAATGATTTGCATATACATAAACAATTCCTAGAGTCAAAGATCATTACTATGAACTCTGTCTTTTTTTTGATGCTGCTTTTAAATATAAGAAAAGAAATATTCCAGAATTGATTAATATTAAAGATTGACAAGCTCTATACTCACCTGTCCGAGTCCAGGCATACCTCCTCCCAGTCGCAGAAGTCTATCCATATTTCTAGAAAAACAGAAACAAAGGAAAAATGTTCCCAAGCTCTGAAATGTTTACTAAATTGCTATCTATATAATTCACCTTCAGTCACTGAGTATGTCAAAAATATTGGTGGTAATTACAACACAACATCAGACTTCCTGTTAATTAACACCACATATTAATTCAAGAAGCTGTCTTCCATGCTAATTAACAGACTTTGTTTTATTGCTTTGGTTTTGGGTTATCCCCAGTTCTAAGGATGAGCACTCTTGTCAAACTTCTGAAAACTTTCCTATCATTCAATTAATTGGGGGATTTTTGTTGCTTATGATCAGCACCTACAGCCAAAAAGTTCCTAGAACTTTATTCTAAAATTTCCTAAAACAAATTTACTTCAATTTGTTCAAAAATCATGAATAAAAATGTTAAAGTAAGGATTTTAGCATCCTCATTAGTAAGTTCTGTGCTAATTAACTTACAGCTTGTCAGTTATCATCAAAACTACATGTGAAAGACACTAAGCAGATTATGGATCTCTGAATTAGCATCAAAAGCTTTTTTTAATGAACTCATTATACTAAAAGAAATACTGTAAAGTAAACATTTAATGTGTATATAGTTAGAAGACTAGTGACAGTACAGTCACTTAATACATTTCCAGTGTTGCATGTGCCATTGCTTTAGCACAAGATTATTCCAATCAATGCAACTTGTTACTTAAAAAAAGAAAACGCAGTTTTTGTGTCTTGCAACTTTCAAAGGAGTGATCTCCAGGAATAAGAGCTGTTAAGGTCCCTCAGCTAAAAATATTACAGTGATGTTTCTTTCTCTGCAGTTTTTTCACTTTCTATTGTTGAAACGACAACAACCATTTCATTGTGGATACCTAAGTATCCACAGGTTCTGTCCCAGTTTTCACAGAGCTTTATCCTGCTTTTTTGTCTTTTTCAACTTCCTAGCTTTATACAACAAAACTCAGAGATAAAAAAAACCCCAAACCCCAAATATTACTTTTTAAACAGCTGTCTTCAGCAAATCAAGCCATTTCCAAGACGTACGGAAATTAGAAAATGTTACTGGTTTATTTTATTTGTGAAATAGAAGATACAAAGTAAAGCATCAGAAACTATGATCTTAATTGGACAAGATTTAATACAACACAACAAAGCCTGTTTAGGTGATAAAAGGAAGTATGATTTCTGAAATACATTCATCCTCCAAATGGATGTTACATTACAAATAAGAGGATTATATACATGATTTCAGACTACATTAGCAATACTAATTCAACAGCCTTCTTTTAAAAAGTAATTATGCAAAAGAACTTGAAAAATAAATTTGCTTTGTATATTAAAAATAAAAGTCTTCATGTTGAAGGTGAATATAATCTCATTTCTTCTGAAATTTGCTAATATTTTTACTGGCTAAAAACTAATAGGCTTTATTTCAGTATAAGTTTAAAACAAATAATTTAAGCTTCTAAGCACACAAAGAAGCAGCATTTTAATTCTTACTTTAATAATATCATAACAATATCAAAGATACATGGATCAATAATACTTGCTTTATTTGCTAATTTCACTTTCCCAGTCTAATGCATTACCAAGCTATTAGTTTAATTTGATTCACTCTCTTAATTTTGTAGGTACATGTGAACCTAACAACTGCAGCCTCAACTAACAGTAAGTGCTTTCTTAAAGCTCCATTGGAACTGTATGAATTAAAAAGGAGTTTATTAAAGGGTCAATGGTTATCCTTCTCTTTTTCACAGTCATTGAAACCAAGCTTCTTTATTAGAGGCAAAAGCTGCACACAGTGCATATACTTTTCTATCCTGAACTACAATAAATTCCAAATCAAGTTGTAGGATTTCCTGGGAAAGGTTAAATTGCTGTTTAAAGCTATTATGTAAGCATATGTTAAATGGCTTCAATGAAACAGTCACAATGTTACCATAAATTAACGCCAACTACATTTCATTTTACCCCGTGTGGTAGATACTCCTCCATTGAAACACACAATGATTCATCTTCTGTGACACTAATGAGGGCTGAAGAGTAACTGAGAAGTAAATTTAAACTACTAAAATTATTATTTTAATCCATCATGGTTGTACACTTATTTTAAGTAACTCTTGGTCTCTACAACTGATAACCATAAAACTGGGCGTTCCTACAACTACACAACTTCCAAAAACTGATGAGGTGTATTACCTATGTACATTCAAGAAATAATATTGAATAACAAATCTTTTAATGCAAGTGAAAAGCAATAGTTAGTACTAACTAGTTAATATTTTATTTACACAGTTTATTCCAGTTTCTAACTCAACAGAATAGTACATCATTTATAGAAGCATATTTTGCCATATTAAAGCTGGATTAGAATAATGCGTTAAACAAGCTGATTATTTATCAGCAAAACCTTACCAAAAAATCTCATTGCCTTATACAATTGGAGAGATGCAACATTTCCCACCTAACTATCACCGACTAATCACTGAACAGAGATATTTAGATTTTTAAGACAGCGGCACAAACACAAAGTCTCCAAAAAACAGTTCTAGATGCACTGCAAATTGTTTCACTAGCTCCATGAGTTGACTCTGGTTAGAGTTGTGGCAACCACTACTTTACTTGCCTATTTGTAACTGAATATGTTTTAGTAGGTTATAGCATATTTGGACCTAAACATATTTGTTTACTCTGTATAAACATCTGAAGAATTTAGGTTAGCGAACCAAATCAAAACTGCTTTTAATTTTTGTCAATCCACTGTATCTAAATATTATTTCAGCCATAAATTCCATTTATGAAACAATGTTTTTGTAAACCTTACAACAGTTTAGGCAAAATTTTTAGACCTTAATTAAGATAACTTTAGCCTTTACAAATAAAGCAAATATGCATTTCTAACCTGGTGCTTAGCAGGAGGTGATCACAGATCAAATGTGGCAGCAGCTCCCACTTTTTGACTGTAAAAATGATACCAGTAAGTCTCTTTCCTACACAAGGAAATAGAAAGAAGGGGAGAAAACCGGTAACATTCAGAAACACTAGCCCATGTAAAAAGAAATGTTACATGGATGACCCCCAAAAGGACAAAGCATCATTGAAGAATAGCCTAAAGAATGTTTGCTGGGTTTTCTTTTTCCTTTTACCATATAATCCCTTTAAGCGGTATATGTCACATCTTGCTCAAGTACAACACTGAAAGTAAGTTACAAGATTCTCAAAATGACATGTAAGAGTATTGTAATAATCCATTTAAGCAATTTAAAGCTAACTGATTGTTTAAAATGTTGTTAGAAAGTGAAACCATGGTCCTTTTTTACTATTTAGAAGACCTTGTCTAGCTAAGATGACCATAGCGCCAAGGTTAAGAGCAGTCTGCAGGTACAGGTAGTTTTGTTTATTTCTGCAGGAGCAGTTCGTGTGACTGGAAAAGTCAGAGTCCTTTAGGTTTGCCTGAATTCAGGTTGAGAAAGACTGCTTCACATTCAATTTAGGAATTAAAATTCATGTTATCCTCCTCTCAGAGAACACTGCCCACTAATTGCATCCACTCAATCATTTGTAGAGCAGTGTTTTAAAACAGATCTGTGAAATGATCTGTGGCCATGATTTGATAGACATTTTTTTCAATGTCAATGTTAACATAAGGAGCAGTGGGGAAGCTGCTGCTGCTTACCAACTTGATGCTGCTTTCTCAGTACTGCCAGGACAGCCATTTGTGCAGCCTTGCAGAAAACTGATAGGCTAACAAAAACGTTGGTTTTAACCCTGTTCACTTCTCTGAGACGATTCACACCGCATCCCAGAAAGAGTTGTCTTGGCGTAACAGAAAAAGAGGTCTTGGAAGAGCTGATTGCTTCTAACACTAATCCAGACTCCAGAAGACATTTATGTCAAATCATTCTTTAAGCTAAAGCTGCCCAAAGAATATGTGGGTTTGGGGGTTGGTTTTCAGGTTTTTGTTTGGGTGGAGTTTTCTGTTTTGCTTTGTTTATTAGTAATTGAGGTAATTTAACAGAGAGTCTTCTGAACCTTATCTCAAAGTAGTACAAGAGCAAAGAAAGATGTGTTCATCTTCCTGGAAAGTTAGAGGAGAAAGAACAAATCAGAGTTTCTCAGTGCTGACAGGTTGGGGTGGAATTCCACTAACAATTCAAATGAAAAGTTACTATACTTCTGACAGCTTTGCAGAAGGAAATGATCCTTTGCAGAAGGAGAGATCACATGAGCCGGGACCACAACAGCCAACAGCACAGGCTACAACAGAACCGGATCCAGTTCTTCAATTGGGCTTCACTTTTAACACGTTGACCACCCAGGCGACTTGCTTTCCCTTCCCCACTTACTACAAGGGTATTAAAGAAATAGATCTCTGTGAGCTTGGTCTGTTCCCCAGAGAAGCACACAGCATGGTCACCTATAGCTGAGAATTTTTCCTCCCTCTGCTAAAAAGTGCAAAAAGCTAGTTTTGATTATGCAACTTACCTATTGTTTTTTTTCCCTACATTTGCACACACATACACACACATATAAATAAAAGACAGAAAAGTAAATAAACAGTATACAGTAAATCTCACCTCCTTTCCTTCCAAAGTCAGCAAAGGTATTTTGATAAGGTTTCCTTCAATCTGCAAGGAAGAGTTAACAGTCTCTGTTTAAAGCAAGGCTTTAAGGAAGTGAGTAAATGTATCAAATAGTTCCATATCAGGAAAATGCAAAAGGACAGTTACAATCATAACAAACTTGCATTTTGGTGCAACCAGGATTTGGATGACATACACTCATCGCTGAGATAATTATGTTAACTAGTGGCTTTAAAAAATGAGTTAAGTAGCTTCTCTGCTTATGAATGTCTATGATTGAAACACCTTCACTAAAAAATCTTGGTCATAGGATAGTATTTAAAAAATCCATGCTTCCATTGTTGTAGTTTTCTTTTAACTGTCCTGGCCTCAAAAGGGAAAAGTCTGTGGATATTAATAATGCAGTGAACGTATACACAGAGCATCTCAAAACTGACCTGAAAACAGAAATTTTAAAACCCATGCCTAATATTTGCTCATAATACTACTGCTAGGTAACTAATAATTGGAAAGAGCTGCCCATTTGGAGAACTCTGGTTCATCAGTCAGTTGTTCATTGGTACTTTCAAGGTACTTAAATGGTGACTTTTAATAATGAAAACATTTTTCCTTAGGTAACATAGGGATGAAGTTATATAAAAGGATTATGCACAAATGTATATACACATGTAGGTATAAACCAAGAGCTACTGTGTTTATACTTGGCATGTTTCAGCATGTATTTTGAAATCAACTTGAAACACGATCTTAAATTACTGTATCTCTTTGCATGAGACACATGAGTTTCACACTACAGTGCACTATTTTTATCTAGCATTAACACTCCATGATGCAATCCCTCAATGAAAGATGGTTCTCCTGGGTTGGCAACTCTTGAGTTAGTAAAAAAACAAATATCAAAATCAGCTTCAACATACACAGAAAAGAAAACACTGCCTACTAACTGCCGTATTAGTGGAGAGAGTATCAGGCTTGACTCAGGTGACAGCAATTTACTTCACAATTTGTACACTGAGGGACTTGATGCAAATCATTTCATCTTCGAAAACTCAGTTTCTACACCTGAGACTACATAATAATCTTTGTACAAGCACTTCCAGGTCTCCTGTTGAGAAGTTATACATAGCAGATGATCAACAATTTTATTAACAGCAACTAAAAAAGTGGTTTAAGGTTTTTGCTGCAACTGTAACCATTTCAACTTCACTAGGGATGATAAACAGCTACAAGAGCAAATCAGTTGAGAAATTACATACTGCAGAAAAACATCATTTCACCAAGAAAAGAACAGGTAAAGTCATCAAACCAGAACAGATACTTCACACATGAAAAGGTAGAGAGGGGGTGGGGCTAGTCTACCTTCCTATACATTTTGTATGAAAAGAGAAAAAACAATATTGATGTTACCACCAACTGTCAGTCACCTGTTCATTAAAGCTAAAGATTAATTTCATGAATGAGTGTAGTCTCAGCAGTGCAAGTCCAGAATAACACAATTATTTTGCTTCTATAACGTGCTCAGTTCTATAAATCCAGATCCTATTTCAAGATCACATAGACCTGAATCTCAATAGACACGAACTGGACTGGAAGGTCTGCAGGTTCTGGACTCTGCTTTCTGACTTCTAGAAGTACAGCAAACGTAATTCTACTACGTTCATTGCTGAGCTGGAGTGACTGAAGTAACACAGACTGAAACAAACTACTCTAAAGCTACTAAAGTATATTCATACCAAACTTACAGGTAAGCAAAGATTCATTAACAAGTTGCATCACCACAGAAACCCACAAAATTAATTTTAATTTTATGCTACATATAAAATAATAGACTTCTCTGAAATCTGCAGAAAGGCAAGTAAACACACAACTATTGTGGAACCATCCCATCACCAACTCCAACAAATACTCATCATACCAGTTCTCTATTATTCAAGGTATTCTCAATACCTGTCCTTTCCTAAATCATTCTCTTCCATCATCCTAGATGTTTGTCCTGGTTAGAACGGCTGGGACCAATTCATCCCTGGATGGGTGTAACCCAAAACTGTGTATTCTATAGCCTCCATGCCATTTCCCAAAAACTGCTGTCAGTAGAGGCCTGCAAGGTGAGAAGATGTTCCTGTACCCTTTTATGGAATTCCCCGCTCTAATATCCTTATATGGAATTCCCCGCTCTGATAAGAGGGACTGAACATCCACATGCCCTTTTATGGAATTCCCTACTCTGAGGGAGGGACTGAGCACTCCCGCCTGAACTGGAGAGTATATAACTGGGAGTTTCAGAGCCTTGGGGCTCTCTCTCGTGGGACCCAGAGGAAGACAGCAGACCACCGCTGCTCCCAATCAGGCTGAGACCACCACCCTCGACTGGACTGCAATCACCACTTCTGACCAGACTGCAGCAGCTCTCCCACCAGCAGGTTTTTTTCCCCTCTCCCTTTGCTTTGGACTTGGGGGTGGGCCAAGGTACACCACTTTTGTTCATACCCCAGGGTGCTGGGTTGTACTTTTGGGTTTTGTGGGTTAAAACCAATTGTCTGTCTGTATAATTGTACTTATTGCATTATTTTAATAAATTGTTATTCTGACTTATAAATCTCTCTTTTGAATTGAGTTCATTTTCCCTTGCTGGTTAACTTTTAAACCAGCACAATGTTACAAGACAGTTTTAGTATATACTCCATAATGCTTGTCAGGAGTGAATCACTTCCAAGAAAGCTTACAAACTAATTTATACGTTGGTGTTATTTAATGCTAATTTTAAAGCATTCCCTAGTTTATAATTTTCTAAACCATAGATATCAAATGAATATCACTGACATGGCATGTTTTAACAGGTGATTTTCCATTAAGCTACAGGCTAAACTCAGTTGCTCAAAGTCACACAAAGTGATTCAGAAGCAATTCATATGCAAGCCAGTTTCTGAATTTCTTCACAAACACAGATATTTTTCCCTGTTTCATTAAGGTCACTAACAGAGGCAGATAGTACACCTCAGACTCACAGGTTGAAAGCTTTAAGATGAATACAAACCTGTCAGACTTTTCAGCTTACCTAGTGCCATTTCAGTTATATACAGCTTTCAAATACATTTACATAAAACTTCTCTTTAAAAAGTAAATCTCAAGCCTTGTGGTTTTCTGTTTTTCCACAGCATACCTAAAACAAGTGCAACTGTAAGAGATGACACCAGCATATACCCAAAATTGCCCAACTGTTTACAAGTATCCAATTATATTACATAAAGTTGTTCCAAATCCGATACTTAAGTCGGCTGCATACTAGAAACAGCGCTGTTAAATTTTGTTTATCGCTCCTTCTCTACTTAATTCTGCTTCTTTCTCCTTCGCGTATCCCAGCCAGTGCTCTGCCCTAACTTCCCCTCCCTCTCCGGCTCCAGCTGCAACACTGCCGGGGATCGCGGCACTGCTTCGCTCCGGGAGCAGCAGCGTTGCCGCCCGTGAGGTGTCTGTGACGGGGCCCAGAGCGCACACCAACCCCGCTCTCGGCGCTGCCGAACCACGACGGGCCGGGGCGGAGGCGGCCCGGCCGCGGGGCCCGTGCGGCGCCGAGGCCCGGCCGAGTCCAGCGGCGGGGCCCCTCCGCGCCGCTCCCCGGCCCCTCCCGCCGCCTTCCCCCTCCCGTTCGCAGCCGCCCTGGGGCCGCTGCTGCCCCGAAGCGCCCGGACCTCCCCGGGGCGCAGCCCGCACCAACACGAGCGGGCCCCGCCGAACCCCCCCGAGCCGGTGCCGCTCGCCAGACCCGCCCCGTCTCGCTCCCTCGGCACAGCCCGCGTCCCCGCCCGGCGCCCAAGCCACCCCCCCTGGGCCGCGGGCTCCCCGAACACCGCAGAGCGGGGGCCGCCGCCCCGGCAGGCCGGGCCCTCACCTGGGCCGGAGCCGCCCGGGCCGCGGTGAATCAGCCGGATCTCATTCAAACCGAGCCCTTCCCGGTTCACAGGGCACCCGGCGGCGGCTTCCGGCCCCGCGGCCCGCGGGGAGGAGCTTCCGAGAGCGGAGGCCTCTGAGAGGCGCAGGCTGAACCGAAGCGCCCAAAACTGCTGTGCTTAGAATGCTGTGGGGTCACTTCGTCCACAGTTCAGGGTCACGCTGCAGCCGAATGTCACCAGTGCTCAAACAACGAGACATCAGAGTAGCAGAAGAACTAACGAATGTGTCATCGAATCAATAAAAGGATGGGAACAGTGCATGTACTCTCTCAAAAACAGTGTTACAGAAAATAGGAGGATTTAGAGAAGAGCAATAAGAGTGGCCATATGCATAAAACTAGCAGAAGCAGAAATGGGAAAGAAGGGTTTTGCCAAACTAAGACAATTGGGAGATAGTCAGACAAAAGCATGCTGATGAATGATGCAAATTTCTCTGATGCAAACAGGGAAGCAAAATGGAATTTCTATTGTACTCATGTTAAGAGCGGAACAAAAACTCTTTTGTAAATTAAAAGAGGAAAATGCAAGGCCAAGGAAATACTTTTCCAGGCAGTATGTGAGCAAGTTGTGAATCTCAATGCCTCTTATGAAGGCTAAAACAATAATTCTTTTTAAAAGCTGATTGATATCTAGTTACTGTAATATTGCAAATATTTTAGGAAGTATTGGAACAACTTAACCTATAAAAGCAATTTATTAGGACTCTATAATTTAGTTTCTGCCGTGAATGACCATGAAGAGCCTTGTGGTTTGTTTGACAGCTCCTTTAAGAACTGAGAATGTAATATTAGAAAATGATCAGCATTTTCTGCTCACAGACTAACTACATGGAAGCAGGTGAAAAGACACTATATTATAAATTATACAGAAATAACATCAGATACAGATACGGTCACCACTTCTACGACACTTTAGCAGATGTGGAAGTTTTAGGTTTTTATATCAGGAAGTATAAAATTAATCAAAAGAAAGGGAATTGCCATGATACATGCTATTCTGTTTTTTAAGAGGGGCAACCTTTTTGGAAAGCAATATTCTTATAATGGTCTCTTCCATCTCTTTTCAGCTTTACTAGGCTGAGGGAATCACAAGAGTTAAAGTTTCCAAAAGATTCTTAAAAAGCTAAAGGGTTAAAATGTAGTTTACATTGTGGGTCAGTCATTACTTTTTCATGTTACTAATGCAAAACCTATTAGTGGAGTTTATTACTGCACCCACAGCCAAATTACTCAGAAACTAAGAGTAAAAAAAAAAAATCTATGTATGTCTGCCTCAAACAGAAGAAAACTTGCATCCTGCTTCAAACAGGCTGTTACATTCTTTGCTGTTTTAACCTGGCAAAACTTAGCTCCTGTCTTGAGGCTGTATTTTGAGACTTGTGCATGTCTTAATGTTCTCAGAAGTCATTATAATAATTATGTGGTCAAAGATTTTTGTTTTAGATTAAATTATTGAGGTAAAGAATTAATTTAGTGACCTGAAATGCTTTATGTATTTTGCTGGTTTGCACCATGATTTTAAGAGCAATCCTATTATTCCTCCATGTTCACTGGAATTCTAACTCCTTAATGAGAAATACTCATTATATTTCAATTCTCACTTTGCAGTCATGTGTCTTTAAGGAACTCTGCACTTCTGAAAAAAGAAACACAAATATTTATGAAAAGCGAGCATTCCTCTGGGTTAATATGTATTAGAAAGAAAAACAACATAGTTACATCTTTGTATTATGCCTGTACCCACTGACTTAAATGAGCAATGTCATTTCAACCCATTTGAAAATTTGGCCCTTCTCCTTTGAAATACGAAGTGTAACAGACTTTCATTGTTATTCCTAATTACATTTCAAATCATAGTATTGACTTTTTTAATATATACATTTATTGAAATTTTATAAATAAGTATAGTTACAGAAGAAGGAAAAAAGGAGAAAATAGGAGAAATATTTACATTAGAAAGTATAGTGAATTAATTGGATATATAAAGGCAGTATCATGCTTGGTACTTATGACAGATGGTATTTTATATTTTTATATAAAAAAGATATATTCTTAATTGTATATGTCAAAGGAAAGAGACCATATGTTGTTAAACACTTCCAAATCGTCATTTAATCTGAAGGGCACTCACTCGCTCGCATGCTACTGAATCCCTTATTGTTTTGGTCTAACCAGCGTTAATCGATAGAAGATTTTATTTATTGTTTTGCAGTAATGCAGTGCTAAATGAAAATGTTCAAGCTTTGTTCCCTTTTTAATTACTTGGATGGCTGTCATAAGTGATAAAAACTTCCTTTGGCTGGACACTTACGTTCTTTCTGTTTTCCCCATGCTAACCTATCCTTGCTTGTAGTGAAGTGATCAACAGGGATCAGACTTGATAAGAGATCACACCATTTTTTCCTAACTCCTGGTATATAATTTCCCCTCTGTCTGTTTGCAATTGGATTAAAGCAGCAATATTGCTGAAGAATCCATAATTAAAGAATTTAATTTTACAAAGCTGAGTGACAAAATTTAAGAGTTGTGTGTAGAATAAGAAGAATGCATGGAGAGATTGGCCACAATTTTCTTGCAAATCATATATATAGACAAATATAGTCCTAGTTTGTGCTAGGACAGGATGAAGTCTCCAGGACTGAGATATAATATATATTTAAAAAAAAAAGGGGGAAAAAAACCCCAAACCCCCAAGAAACCCAATAGAAGATACAGTTTTAGAAAGCCTGGTATTAGAACACAGGATGCACTGTGGATTGGACAAAATATTAGAGTTGTAGATCATTTTATTTCTATGTTTAAATGTAGAACAGAGTATAGGGAATGAATATACATCGGGGAATACAAGATCTGATGTCATTCTTGTGAGGGGATAATAGAGTCAGAAGCACACTTTTTTTTGCTTAGAACTATGTTTGGCTTAGAACTATTACTGAAAAAGTAATGGAGGAATAGTAGTTTCTTGAACTGCAGCCTTTCACCGCAGAAATGGACTGGAGTTCTGTCTTGGCAAACCTGTATATAGGGAAGTGGCTTCTTCTGTTATACTTGGCAAGCACTCACACAGTTAGAAGTGCTGATGGTGACCTCTGTGACATCCCCAACAGCTTGTACAATGTTTGATCAACTCCTTGCTGCATATAGAGTAGTAACAGGTCTTGTCACAAACAATGAATAAAATTTTACAGGATTAGTTAAAGATAGTGTATAAGAGTGAGATTACTTTTTTTAGTCTTCTCAACAGTTCTACAAATCAGCTGCAGAAGGCTGTTAGAGGCTTGAAAGAGGCTTCATTAATCATGAAACATATGATTATTGAAAACCTGCAAACAAAACTATTTGCATCTCTTCCAGAGCACAGACCTGCCCATTAAAGTATGACAAGTAAAAACTCATCTTAATTTGAGTGAGAAGAATGGTAACAATATATTTGGATATAATCCATCCCATTTTAGAAGGGAGAGGATATTAAGGAAGCAAACATTCCCTACAATGAGCCATAAACACAGCCCCACCCCACCTCCAGTTGGTGCCAAATGATCTTGTTTATATTGGAAGTTTCAGTATTCACCAGCCAATACAAGTTTCACATACAGTCCTAAAGGAAACTGGACTTTTGTTTTTTTATTTCTATTTAAAGTAATGTCTGTGTGAGAACTATCTACAAACCATCTGGAGAAGATAAGGCCAAGAAAAAATCAGTCTCACTGGAAATGCTTATGTTGGGGGTGTCTATGGAAAATTTTTATGAGGAAACAGAAGTGGGTTTGTGTCCCTGGCAATTGCAAAGGTGCTACTCTGTGAGAGACAGTTTATTTAAGTAACTGTGTAGAAGACTGTAAATTGAAGACTGTAAATTAAGAGAAAGGTGGCATGCAAAGTGGACATACTGTGGGTTTTTCTGGATTACTGTGGGATGGAACACCTAATTACTACACCTAATTTCTTTTTTTCTTTATTCAGTGAGAGATTTTCCCCTAATTTGTGACACAATAAAAATAATTTTAGACTTCCTTTAGTACTTAAGATATTTCTGATATTGGACTGAAACATTGCTTTTAAAAGCACTGTGTAACCAGTATAATGCTTTTCACCAGTTTCGGGTAGTGAGGGCCAAGAAATAAAGACAATTTACTCCTGTGGCTTTGTCTGTGTTAGGGAGTAGTACAGACTAGTAGGAACAAATGTGTAGGGCTAAACAGGAAACCATTCCATATTTATTTCAGCATTTTTTACTTTGGATAGCTGTAATTGAGTCTCATAGAGTGAACGCCCATTTGCAACCAAATTGTATTAAGCATGTTTCTGGTCTGCCATTTTTCATATGAGAGAATCCACTTCCAACACTCACAAATGGCAAATGAAAACACCAAAATGCTTTGATGGTTTCCCTTTAAGGCACACTCTGGATCCTGACTTAAACAATCATGTAGATGCGTGATATGTATCATCATTTTTTTTGTGACAGGAATTAACCAACAGTACGTAAAGACAAGATGGCAGAAAGCTGGAGAAGAGTGAAATAAAACTGAAGAAGGTGAAGTCGTCCATACTGCTACACATGGCATGCCCAAAGCACTGGGTATATACAATATGTTCTATGGAGGGCCTGAGGGACCTGTAAACTGCTAGATAAAAACCCATTCAGTGAATATTTTGATCCTCACAAGAGTGTCACTTGGGAAAGACACATTTTTTACAAGAAACCAGCTGCCAGATGAGACCATTGACCATTGTTAAGATCTTTAAAATAAAGCCAAGTAATGTGAATTGGAGCAGTTAACAGATGGATGAATTACTTGTGATATAAGTGATAACCAAGTCAAAGCAAGGTGAGAAAAGGACTTGACATTGCAAAGAACAGCGGATATTTGCAGGGCTAGTAAAGACTGCTTCCCAAATAAAAGTGTTAGCTAGTGGTGAAAGAACTGGAGTGTATCTAATTAAAAATGCATACCAAAGCATAAAGAGAGAATACTAGGGTAAACAAATGGCAGAGACCAGACTTGTTTTCAATAGATGTAAAATCAATCACAACATGGTGAAAAGGTCCT